GAAGAGAATATGGGAAATGGATCCATGTGATGGGCCATTACTAAGGCTTCTTACCGTTGCGGGACCCACGTTTGCTCAAAAAGTCTAACTTTGTCCGCCACGTGGCCAACATTGGACCCATCTTTGTCGCTTTTAAATTAGTTTTCTAATCACATATCTGTGGGCCTCTGCTTTTAAACTAATTTATAACTTAGGTTAATAATTCTTCCAATAATTTAATTCTCATTTATTTCCTACCTAAAAATAATATTTTAAAATTTTTGAAAACCCCTTTTCCTTTATATAATACCATCTTAAAAAAATATTTTATATTTCCAATCAATTATTGAAGTTATCAAATTATTAGCTAGTGGTTTGCTGCTCGTTGATCAGGTTGATTGATACATGGAGTTACTATCTATAAACAAGAAACAGGTGACATTCGACGATTAGTAGATGACATAACCGGCCGCATAGAGAAGAGTATACATAGATTAATGATTGGTTTAGGTTTGTTCAAAGAATATGCTTATGCTCACTTAAGAACAATTTTCTATTAGGTGTCAGACAAAAGAAAGAACAATTTTATATTATATACTCTTTTATTTAATCGTTGAATTACTACTGTCTACAGATATATACCAGATCAGACCGGTACATAAATTACATGATGCAAGTTGCAAAACATAATCGTGAAACATAAAATTGTTAATTAAACCCAAGATCTCAGGAAAAAGGAAAACACGAGGATCTTCCCCTAAGTAGTATGTGTTAACCGGTAATTGAACACAATTATGACAATATATAACATTAAGCGATTTGCATTTCAAGTAATGGGATTCGATTACTTAACCACGTGGTTTGGCATATTATGTTACGATGAACGTGATAATAACATAATTAATACGTCCTTATCTTTCATACTTCTGATCAAGCAGCCTACTTTACAATATACTAGTGTGAATAAACAGTACAATATGAAATATAAGTATTACGTCACTATTTTATTTCAATATATCACTAAAGAAGTAATTCTCATTAAAGATTTCTTGTTTTTATTCAATTTCAGATGCTATGAATAATATATATACACTGTAAATTGAAAACAACAACAAGAACTTACATAGAAAATAACAATAATAATAGATGTGGGAGCAAAGAATCCAACCTGTATTTATAATTATTAGAGAAACCATTATTTGAAGACAAAAGAATGCTAACCTTTCATGTGATGAATAATTGCATTTTGCCACAACTACTTGTAACAGAAAGAGAAAAATCTTCTCATCTATATGATGTCTATAACATAATATATATATTATATATGAAAAGTTATACAAACATTAGTCACTTTATATAGTCTTGAGATTACCTAATCCGTGCCTACCATGAGAATGTAAATATATAAAAAAACTTTATGTCACTTATTATTTAGTAGCACATTATAAAACTTCACATTTCAAACTTATAGTACACATAACGTTTTAAGGAAATGATAGGACTTGCATAAACTCTTGACCTAATTTGTCAATATTTTAACGATTCTTTTACAATTCTTCGTTTCGAGACTATGGTATTAATGCATCGGACTCATTCTAACGTCCAGAAAATATGCATTGGCGTGTAAACCATAGTTTCCCTTTTGAGGTGCAATGCATCTTAGTTAGAATTCTTTTATATTACGATGATTAAATTTCTTTCAATTATTAATTATAGTTAGTGTGTCCTAATCAAGCTACCTGATTAATCCAACAAGTTTGACATGGTCATATCACATGTACCAACGTTCATTGAGATCAAAACATAACAGAAGGTCCTAATCATCACCTTGGAGCCCACAACATTTTATCTAATAAAACAACATAACATATGGGTTTTCAAATTCATTGAACTATGCCCACTTTTAAGTTGAAATTATTTAAGTATATGAATAAATATCTAACTAGTAGCTATTAAAATATAATTAACGTTACTTATGAATTATTAACATTACCCACCAACAAACAAAGGGACACAAACACATCCTTTCAATCTACAATTACTCTTCCGAAAGTCAAACAGCCGACGTTTAGTTGACTGAAGTAAATATCGGTAGAGTCTCTTATTAGGCAATCTAAGCCCATATATGGTAAATGGGCTTTTTGATTAACGAATTCAAAGACCAAGCTCGTTGAGGAATAAAACCGTTCAAGCTTTTCCCATAGCTCAACCGATTAAATCCAAAAAGACCATCCTAAAAGGCTACAACTTAAAAGAGATAAATAAAAATTATAAAATCATGTTTCGCGTAATAATCTCGACTACGAAACAATAGCGAACTTTAATATGATATAATTTCTGAAAGAAAATGCGTTTTTTTTTTATAAGACAAAAATGTAATTAGCGAAAAACCTTAATATTCAATTACTCACTTTAACGAAATAGGACATATATCTTTATTCCTCTGTCACGCTTGTTGCCTTTGTTTTCTTTGTGTTCTTTGATTTCGTTTAGGGTGCTTCAAATCTGCTGAAGAGTCGATAGGAAGAGATAAGCGAGAGCAACACGTAGAGAAGGGAGACAACGAATGTGAAAACAACCGAAATCAATGCATTGTGACAGAAGGATCCATAGGAGTCACAAGCAGAGCTCCAAGTAATGGGTATGTTTCCATAGTATGCTAAGTAAACCGTCTCTGCAGATACAGCCCCAGCCGCTAGAACCACGTATGTGACCACCTGGTCAAGCAAGAACAATGTCCTGACTTGGACCTTGCTTATTGGACACGGAAGCGCTAATATTGCGAGAGCCGAGAGAAGAGAATAAGCAGCACAAACGCCATTAGCACTCACCAAATACCTACAATAAGGGAAAAAAAAAGGAAAGGTTATGATTGATTACGCTCTAATGAAGCAAGAAGAGAAAGAGAGAGATAGAAGAAGGTGAACATGAAAGCTCCAAGATTTGAGTAAGAAACAGAGCCAAATTCGTTGGAGATAGAGTTCTTGATCATGATGACGAGACCCGTAATACTTAGAGCCATTGATGCTACTCGCAGGACCGCCTCTGCCGATTTCTCAGTGCGATTAAGCACTAAAGCTGATTCGTCAATGGCGGTTTGATCAGTCTTGTCCATCTTTTTTTTTTGGTGTTTAAGGATAGAGAGATCTTTGTCTTTGTCTTTTATAATGTTAAGTGTTTAAAGTCATAAACGACAAAACAGTCGCTCAAGCATTCAATATAATCATGTGATTATATGACGTCACCAGTCTCAATTTTAGGTGACTCTTTTTCTCTATTTTAATCATTTTTTTTTCCAAATTTGGTATTACGTACCAGAAGTAAAGAGAGTTTGATATGTGATTAGGCCTTCGTAATTAATGATATAGGTTGTCTGTTTATTCATTTATGATTTTCGGGTATGGACTATTTTCTCTCAATCCTTGTTAAGAAAATTCATTCACATGAATGGTCTAATACTTTTTGCACATGTTAGGAAGGACCGTCTGCACAAGCAGAGACTCCCATCCATGTTGACATCTTTACCTAAGTTATTTCAAGAACATTATGTACGCTTAAGTCTACTTTATAATAGTAAATGACATAGGATAGGACGACCATATAAATATTTATTTTTTGTTTTTTTGACAACCGTCAAGACAGAACGAATAGAATCTGAATAGTTGAAATGTGAATAGTATTGAATTCGTAACACTAGTTATCGCATCAAAATGAGATTTTTAGTATCGACCTTTGCATATTCCACGCGTCACCTCTCCAAGCAGCATACGAGTATCAAACTATAGCTACCTCGTGATTAAAATTTATGGGTATTGAGAAAATAAAACAAAGTATGTTAGATATATCTCAACTACTTTTGTTAGCAGTACACCGTATATATACATGTTTTTGCTAAAGAATAACAATTGACGTACTAATTTTACCTCATTAATATATATGGTGAATTAGGTAATTAGTATATTTACCTAATTCACCATATATGAATATGGTGGCAAACTGAGATATAAGAGGGAAGGTGATTTTCATGCAAATTGTTTTTTATTTTTTTTTGAATGAATGCAAAATTTATTCAAAAAAAAAAAAACTGGGCTACATCAAGTACTTCATTTCTGAGTTTTTGAAAAATCTAAAGACAACAAAAGACTTTACAATTTAATAAAAAAATAATAAAAATACTTTATCACTCTCAACGAAATTGTTGATTTAATAACGTATCTCTTGGTAAAACAGCGTTTTATTTGACGAAATTGTTATAAATGAATAAAATGATAATAGAAACTAGTGTGGTACGTAAAATACCTCTCATTTGGCAAAATAAGGGTTATGTATCATGAGTACTGCATACGACAGCGTGCTTAAATAGTGTGCTTTCAGGAGAAAATATATACCAAGTTATTTGCTGAAATTACCACGCAAATCTGAGGTTCGAATGGCAAAATAAAAAACCAATGTCATTTCCTTAATGTATTAAGGTCATTTAAATAAAATTGTACACTTTTTTCACCTGTAAGCGTTCCAAAGTGTAGAATGGATAACTAGAAGGCTCAAAGGTATAATATTAATAAGCGAACTCACTTTTTGCCCAAGTGATTTCACTTCTTACATTTGCTTGATATAGTTACCCAAAAGTGTATATATATTCCCTTATACAATTGTTCTATTTTCTGGATTATAAGGGGAATAAGAAAAAAGAAAAGAGAGAGTATATAATAATACTTTTATAAAGTGATGTTAGATTCTAATTTGTAACGAAAAGTTCAAAGTGAAAGAAAAAACGAAAAAGTTTTTCTGTTTTGTTTTATATCTATAGCCAAGAAAGTTTCTCAGATTTACAAGAAGTTAACTGAGAAAAACAAAAAAAAAACTTATGAAGCATGAAAGACTAATTAACGAGGTGATTAATTTTGAGACAAATTAAACATCGAATTAAAAGTAACATTTGGAGGGTTTATATGTTATATATGTGACATGATAAGTCCGATTCATGACTAATGTATATCTGGAATCTAACATGGAAGAATAGAGAACGAAGCAGAGCCAAGGTCAACTTGCCAGACACGAATCAACAGATTGTGAATGAGACCAAATCAATGGTCATAAACCGGTTGGGTTTAAACCGGCAAGTCATCCTTGGCTCAATTCCATTCGTTATTCCTTCATGCAAGACCCTCTGATACAACCAAAGACTCCCATTACAATATTCTTTCGATCACGAGCTACTTATTTTCAAATGTGTTACCTCTTTCGTGACTCTTGTGTTGTGTGGTAAAGCCTAGTCGAGATGTGTCGGTATATATAGGCATACATATACAAATGCGACAAAATAAGTATATTATATTGTTTAATTTCTATATTCCATTTCTATATGCATGGCTGGGATTTTTGACCAAAACCCTAATTCAAGAATAGAATCCAAAAGATGGGATCAAAGAATATAATCTAATGGGCTGACCACATTTTCAGATTTAATTCGCATAGTTAATATTCTTTCCACTACTTTATGCCGCAGAAATTTGTAATTAAGTAAGACAAAGAAATACAGATATAAGATGGTCGTAGAAACCAGTAGAGGAATTTCATTTTTCGTGGATAAGTGGAATATTAATAAGAGAATGGTCTTTACTCTTTACAGTGGGAAATGGGAATAGTAGCCCATTATAATTTCATCAGATTCTATATATGCATGTTTGTATAAGCTAAAATAAATACGTTTAAGCATTCTTCAAAAAAATTTACAAGTTCTAGAGACTCTCTTAACGTCGGCAATTTATATTCTACTTTACATGACACTTTCAGGAAAAGAAAACTATACTCACTAGCAGATCATTAAATTTTCTTTTTCTTTTTTTGAATGAACCTTAGTTGTGGTTTTTATTTTTGTTAGCTAGAAACTTCAGTGTTTTTTTTCCGCCAATGGTAGTGCTTTGATGATGGTCCGGCCCAATTCATAGAAGGCCTTGAAAATGGGCCAGACCAATTCAGAGACCCAACAAGCTCGACTGTATACACAAAATTCACAAAAACAGCTTTTGAGAAGTTTTCTTCTTCTTCACCTTATTTTCGGGTATCAAAGCCACAAAACCCTGAGAATGGCGGCAGCTACTCAATTTCTCTCCCAACCTTCGTCTCTCAATCCACACCAACTGAAGAACCAAACCTCACAACGCTCCAGAAGCATCCCTGTCTTGTCTCTTAAATCCACATTGAAGCCACTTAAACGCCTCTCCGTGAAAGCCGCCGTCGTTTCTCAAAACTCGTCCAAAACCGTGACGAAGTTCGATCACTGTTTCAAGAAATCATCAGATGGGTTTCTCTATTGTGAAGGAACTAAAGTTGAGGATATCATGGAGTCAGTGGAGAGAAGACCCTTTTACTTATATAGCAAACCTCAGATCACTAGAAACCTCGAGGCTTATAAAGAAGCATTGGAAGGAGTGAGCTCTGTGATTGGTTACGCTATCAAAGCTAATAACAATCTTAAAATTTTGGAGCATTTGAGAAGTTTAGGCTGTGGTGCTGTGCTCGTTAGTGGAAATGAGCTTAGACTTGCTCTTCGTGCTGGTTTCGATCCCACAAAGTAACATTCTTTATTTACCCATTATTGCCCTGTATCTGATTTAGAGAGCTTTAACTTCATCCCTATAACAAAGTGTTTGATTTGTTGATGGAATCAGTATTGATATGAATGGTATGATTTGGTGTAAAATGAATAGGTGCATTTTCAATGGAAATGGCAAGTCTTTGGAAGATTTAGTTCTAGCTGCTCAAGAAGGTGTTTTCGTTAATGTCGATAGTGAGTTTGACTTGAATAACATTGTGGAAGCTTCAAGAATTTCTGGTAAGCAGGTCAATGTACTGCTGCGTATCAATCCTGATGTTGATCCTCAGGTATGGTTAAAATTTACTTTAAACTTTAGCATCATGTCTAACATAATTGGTCTTGGATATTAGTTAGTGAGCTTTTCTGTTTTATACATTTTTCAGGTGCATCCATATGTTGCTACTGGGAACAAGAACTCAAAGTTTGGTATCAGGAACGAGAAGCTTCAATGGTTTCTGGATCAGGTCAAGGCACATCCCAAAGAGCTGAAGCTTGTTGGAGCTCATTGCCATCTAGGCTCTACCATTACTAAGGTAACACTCTGATTATAGTTGCTTAAAGTTGTATTTTGATGTAATCAGATGAATATGGATTGCTCTCTGTTTAGTGTTTGCTTTTGGTCCGTCCTTAGATCTCAACTCTTGAGCTCTACGTATTTGCGTATGTTCTGTTTATTCCAGGTGGATATATTCAGAGATGCGGCAGTTCTCATGATAGAATACATTGACGAGATCCGGCGTCAAGGTTTTGAAGTTAGTTACTTGAACATTGGTGGTGGTTTAGGGATTGATTATTACCATGCCGGCGCTGTCCTTCCCACACCCATGGATCTCATCAACACTGTAAGAACAACATCTCTTTCGTTCATTTGATCTCAAAAGTAGTGGGATGGTAGAATTGTTACAATCCTTGATGTGTTCCAGGTAAGAGAGCTTGTTCTTTCACGAGACCTGAATCTAATAATCGAGCCAGGGAGATCTCTGATTGCAAACACTTGCTGTTTCGTCAACCATGTAACTGGTGTGAAGACGAATGGAACTAAGAACTTCATAGTCATTGATGGAAGTATGGCTGAGCTTATCCGTCCCAGTCTTTATGATGCTTATCAGGTAAAAACAAATATACTTCTCACAACAGCATCTGCAGATTTTGGTCCCCTTTGAGCTATAGCTAAACATTCTCTTGTTCATGTTTTTAACTCAAAAGCACATTGAGTTGGTCTCTCCTCCACCGGCTGAAGCAGAGGTTACCAAATTCGACGTAGTGGGTCCTGTCTGTGAATCTGCTGATTTCCTGGGCAAAGACAGAGAGCTTCCCACTCCTCCACAGGTATGATAAGGATATGATTCTGTTTGGAAGCTCAGGTAATGTGGAATCTTATGAGTTTATTGTATTCATTACAGGGAGCTGGTCTGGTGGTTCATGACGCTGGTGCATACTGTATGAGCATGGCTTCCACTTACAATCTCAAGATGCGTCCTCCGGAATACTGGGTACCAACACATTTTCTTGTTCCAGGAGAATCAAGATCCCGAGAGAAATTGTCATGAATTTGAACTTATTTTCTTCAATGTGTTGTTTGTTTTTGCAGGTTGAAGAAGATGGGTCGATCACTAAGATAAGGCATGCTGAGACATTCGATGACCATTTGCGTTTCTTTGAAGGTCTATGAACTCTTAGATTTACTCATCATTGTTGCTTTTTTGATTGAATTGTATGATTATTCGGAATCAGGACCATAATGATATTGCTGTTTTAGATTTTCACATTATGTGCTTTGATTCAAAGTCAATGAAGTGATCATATGAATAAGAAAACGTTCACAAGTCAAGACAGAAAATAAGAGGTGATTCTGATTATAAGAGGAGTCTTTCAAGCCAAAGTCGTCCATTGTCCAAACACATAAACACTCATCTAAGCTTCTTCCCATAGCTATAAGAAGATTCTTTCAAGCTTTTTGTTCACAAGTTTGCTTGCAGAACTAAATGAATCAATAACTACAACTACTATGTCATTAATCAAGAAACTAAAAGAAGATAGTTCATAGTTCACAGGACAAGTAAAGTGAATTTGGTTTATCATGTAGTGACTTACCGCCACAAGTCTAATTTCATCATGGGTTATAAGGAAGATTCCAAAATAAACCTTTTAATGTGTAAATGAGACGGTGGCTGGAAACTTGAAGTAGCAAAATGGTCCCATGCGACGCCGTATTGGCGCGGCCACCTCTCTCCGCCATATAATAGAGGTGGTCCTTTAAGTTTTATTTTCTTTCTGTGGTTTCTATGTTACCGTACGTATCAATTTTTAAAAGCAGCTATACATGGTACGACGTCTAACAACTATGTTACCTGAATTGTCCCATCGGGCCATTTAATATGTGGATGGTTGCATTTTTCTTCTTCTAAGTGACTAGTTTGTACTTGGTAAAGTGTTTACGCTAACATCCATTTGTAAGTTTGATTCAACAAATTAACTTCAACAGTGAAATGAACATGTCTAATTTGGAAAAGTTTGATTTCAAACTGAATATGTTAAAAATTTCTCAGCATAAATAAGATTAATATCCAAATGTTAATTAATTATTTTATTTTCAATTGGATGATCATAAAACTTGCAAAATAATTAATCAGAAAAAGAAGAAGCAAATTTTTTAATTATACTTGAACAATGAAAACCTAAATCCCTGCAATTTGGCTTTTGAATTTAGTAAGAGACGTTAGTGTATGAATGTATGTATATGTCATCTTCACGAATTAATGCTAAAAGTTTGGCAAATCTTTGGTTGGCCAACTCATTTGGCTATGATATGTTGTTACCATTATATATGCATGTTGCTGTCAATTTTTCTCTTTTCCAGAAGTTTAGAAAATCATTATATAGTTACATTACAGGGTACGTATCATATCATACAGCCACATATCAAGAGGATTAGAAAAAAGGAATCTGTGATAATCATAGTCTTGAATTTAGCAAACAAAAATTGTTTTAAATCACTGAGCCACTTTTATCTAAATCTGAATAGAAATATATACTGTATTCTGTAGTCTTGGGAATTATAAGTTGAAGATAAATATGATCTTTAAACGATAAACAAGTAAAGGATGGAAACGTATATAACTATTATTTGAGAAAAGAAATTGAAAGCTATAAAGGCTAATAGAGCCCCCACACCGGCCGTCTTCCCTTTTGAAAGCAACTTGGTACCTTTTAACTTGATCTTACATCCGTACCAGTGTGTTTACAGATACAATCTGGATCATTTGATCTTTGTTTTGGTGGTGTTTATATGTTGTTGTGTAATCGAATGATTTCTTCATCGTATAGGTTCAAAGCCAGAGATGGTTGTAATTTGGTACATTGATACTTACTTGACATTGAAGATTACCAAATAATTAAGCTTGGTGCCAAATTAAAACGTTTTTTATTTTCTTTTACGTGTGTGTAAAATATGGTGGTTGATTAATTGTGCATATCTAAAGATAAAATCATATCATTGAAAATTAGGTTTGATTTTGTCGGGAGTGTAAGTTCTCTTTCACATATA